ATTTCACATTCACTCTGTTTTGAGGTCAAGGGCCCACCACTACCAATCAGCTATGTGCGAACCTTCCCGAGGTGATCCTAGGGTCGATCAACTTCTGATCGTAACATATGGTACAAACAAGGAGAACCAAATAGCAAAGACAATGAGCCCTGGAGAAACGTTCCTCGTCAAACACTTGACTTATCCGAGTCAGCAACGGCAGGTGAAACGACAAGCAAATGCTTCTTTCACATGAATTGGCAGTTTCTCAAGTTTACAGCATTCAGAGTTGTATACGTTTTTCCTGTTGGTAAAAACGTGTTTCAGGCTCAGTTTCCATACTGATTCGAATTTTCATGGGGAGTACAATTTCCGAGATGATCTGATTGGTCGAAATTTGCTGTTTCGCGATTGGTCGAAATTTGCACACATTGCGAATTTTGGAGACAAGTACTTTCGGTTGACCAGAAACGCTCTACTCGACGATGCCTCTTTCGGGCCTAATTCTGTCGACCAGCGTTTCGTCGAAACGCTGTTTTCTACAATGTCCTTGACCCGCGAGGCTCAAATTCGAGGCCGATTTCCTCCCCCCGTCAAGAGCCTCGTCAACGGGCAGTTGCATAGAGCAGAAACAACACTTCAATTTCGGCGAATTTATCTCGTCGAAAATCGACCCGTCGGACAGAGATCTAAGTCCCAGAGGCTGTCGCACCTAGAGAAAAGTCCCTGAAGTCGCCGATGACCATGAAACAAACATTGTTGAGCTCCAAAAAGCATGGCCGACTTCGCCCAAGCAAGGGCTGGGCCTTTTCTCCTCGACACTCCCCTGCCCAGCTCAAATTTGTGCCCCCACACACAAGGTCCACACAAAACCTACTTAATCAAATACAAGGGGATATTTCTCTGGCGTGCACACTCCCGCACGCCGATCACCGAACTAGCCATGTTAGAGGACATGACACCTACTGCTGCACGTCGTCATCGTCGTCGCCAATTTCGGCAAGGCGAACTTGGCCGACCACGACAGAGCACCGGTTGAAGGCCGGAAAGTGCAGCGCTTTTGTAAGGAAGTCTGCCAGCTGCTCAGATGTCGGGATGTACTCCAGCGCAATCTTCTTGGACTTCACCATTTGCTGCAGCCAAGCGTAACGTCGCTCTATGTGCTTGAGGTTGCCCTCGGACTGATTGTCCACGTTCAGAGCAGTTGGAGTCCCAGCATTGAGGAGCTGGAACTCAGCGAGGAGGAATCGAAGTCGATGACTCCCCTGGCCGCTTCAGTGGCCGCGATGTACTCTGACTCCGTAGAGGACAGAGTCACGCACTTGATGCGTTGGCTCGTCCAGGAGACAGCTGCGCCGCCGAAGATGAAAACGTAGCCATTCGTGCTGCTGCGCGTCTGCTTGTAAATGGCGTCGTCCGCGTCCGCGTAGCCGACCAGTTTCAGAGTCTCTGGCCCGCCGCCAAACTCCAGAGCAACATCGCGCATGTCGACCAGATAGGTGAGGCATCGATCGACCCACCGTGCCAGTGCTGGTCGCTCCTCACCGTCAGACCAGACCCCAGCTTGCTGCACGCAAAAGCAATGTCGTGCCGAGTTGTCGTGGCGGCGAACTGCAGCGAACCGACCTTCTCATGGTACTCCTCTTCTTCGCGCGACTCGAAGTCATCGTCGTCAAAAGTCAGTTCTGCGCACGCGTCGACGGAAACAGGAGTCTTCAGACGCCGACCGGCCTGCTCCTCGTCGATGAAGCACCTACGCAGCTTGCCAACATAGGACTGCTGGTGCAGCCACAGCTTCCGCGCCGGACGGTCGCGCACGATTTTGAGCTCCAAGTACTTCTCGATCTGGATGATCTCGTGCAGCTCAAAGGTGGCCTCCAGTAGCTCCTTCAGCATCGCGGTGCTACAGCTTGCGGCGAGCAGGTCGTCGACGTAGACGAGCACCCAGCACGCCACTCCGTCGTCGCCAACTCTGAAATAGAGAGCCTCGTCCACCTGGCTCTTGCTCCAGCCAGCGCCAGTTAGCACAGCGTCGAGCGCCGTGTACCACAACAGAGGGCTCTGCTTCAGCCCATAGAGGCTCTTCAGCAGCTTGTAGACGCGGCCGGTTCCGTCGTTGTAGTAAGCCGGCAAGTCCATGTACAGCACACGGTCGAGCTTACTCTGCAGGAAGGCATTCTTCATGTCCAACTGCATGTGGTGCAGGTCGAGGACGACGACGATGCTGAGGAAAATCTGCAGCATAACGTAGCTTCCGACCGGTGCATACGTCTCGTTGTAGTCGGCCCCGTAGACTTGCGTGAAGCCCTTCACCACCAGGCGCACTCTTTCGCTAGCAACCGTATCGTCGACATGGTACTTCGTCGTCAGTACCCAGCGGTTCTTCATGACATTGACGTCGCGTGGGCGCTCCACTAGCTCCCAAGTGCCGTTGGTGATGAGACTTCGAATCTCCTCGTCCATCGCCGCTTTCACCGCCTTGCCCTTCCAACTCGCTAACGCCTCCTTCACTGTCATGTTAGCGATGTCCCAGCGATGCTCCGGGTCGGCGTGCATATCGGGATCGAGCTCGGGCATCGTCGAGCAAAGTGCTGTAGGAGGTCGGTGACAGGCAAGCATGGTAGCTCAGCTTTGAGTGGGTGGAACGTCGAACTGCAAACCTGTCAGCCGGGACTTCCACCACGTCGCTATCGCTGGACTGCTCCCCGGTCGACAGCTCCCCTTCATCGTCGCCGACAACTTCAACAACATCGCTCGATGTGCCATCGTCGAACTGCTCCCCTGTCATCTGCTCCTCTAATGTGAGCTTCTTGTTCAACGGCTCCTTTGAAACGCGCTCCTTGTTCGACGGCTCCCCTGTCGATGGCTCCTCTGAAACACGCTCCTCGTTCGAGGGCTCCCCTATCAACGGCTCCTCTCAAACACGCTCCCCCTTTGACAGCTCCCCTGTCGGCGGAGACTTCACTCCGACGCCGACTTGCTCGCTGACCAGATCACGTCGACCGCCAGCGATGCTGAAGGCGATGCACCAATGCCCCCCTCATCGCTGGCGGCCGTCGTCGACGCCGACTTAGGTAAGCCGGGGGCGAGCGATGGGAGGGAGGCTGGAAGAGGAGGAGGAGGTTTCGACGAGGGCAGAATGGAGGGAGGGGGAGCGTCTAACAGAAAGTCGTCCTCGGCAGCGAGCAATGGAATCGCCGCCGGCGATGAACCTGGCAGCGGAGAAACCTTCTTTCGCTCTGACGCAGGCCCATGCTCCACCATCCAATCCTCCGGAGACATCGTCTCATAGAAAATTGCCTCCACGATTGTGACAATGCTGTTATCGGTGAGGTCGAGCACCTCCCAGCCCTTGCTCTTTGGCAAAACATCGAGGTGAATTCCCTAGCGTGCCTTCGGTGCCACCGCGCTGCTACTTCGGGACCATGAACTGCACCATGCAGCCCCACACGCGCACCAGCATGAGATCCGGCTTCTTTCCGAACAGCAGCTCACACGGCGTCATCCTCGGAGGAAGGGAAGCCCGTTCGAGACAGTTGCGCACCCAGATGGCGTGGTGAAGGGCGAGGTGCCACCAGTGATGCTTCACCCCCATATAAAGCAGCATCGTCCGTACAGCTTTGATGACCGTGCACATCTCCCGCTCCGCCATGCCATTTTGCTGCGGAGTGTAGGGGCAGGTGAGGTTCTTGTCCTCGACGAGATCGGTGAAGGCCCGACCAAGGAACTCCCCTCCGCGGTCAGAGCGAAGCCTCTTTACCGACTTCAAGGTGTGCCGCTCCACTTCCTTCAACCACTTCTCGAAGACACCGAGCACGTCACTCTTTTTCGCGATCAGACGGACCCACACAAAGCGAGTCTTGTGGTCCTTGAGAAGGAGGAAGTAGAGGCTCCCATCCGCGCCAGTCACACAGAAGGGGCCGCAGAGGTCAATGTGTATGACGTCGAGGGCATTTTCTGTCAAACATTGCATGTTTAAGTTGTGTAGGCTGTAGTGGGTTTGACCTTAGGGGGTACACAAACTTAGGGTTTCCTACTTGTACCCAACTTTCTGCTAGTTCATGCATTCCTGCTTCATTCATTCTGACATGGTATCAGAGCAGGTCCTTCGCTAGGACCTAATTCTTTTTCAAGCCCACCACTACTGACTGCCTACTAGCGCCTTCGTGCGCCCTACTGTCGGAGCGCTCCCTAGCGCCTCCCCCCCAGCGCCCTCGTGCGCCTCTCTTTCACGGCCCCTTAAGGCCCCGTCGACCCCGCGCGCCGCCCCTTAGCGACCCGCGCGCCGCCCCTTAGCGACCCCGTCGGCCCCGCGCGCCGCCCCTTAGAGGCCCCGCTGGCCCCGTCGACCCCGCGCGCGCCCCGCTTAGAGGCCCCGTCGGCCCGTCGACCCCGCGCGCGCCCCGCTTAGAGGCCCCGTTGGCCCGTTGACCCCGCGCACGCCCCACCAGAGGCCCCGCTGGCCCCGTCGACCCCACGTGCGCCCCGCCTAGAGGCCCCGCTGGCCCCATCGACCCCGCGCGCCTCCCTTAGCGACCCCGTCGGCCCCGTCGACCCCACCCGCCGCCCCTTACCGCCCCGCACGCGACAGCCACGGCCCCGCCAGAACCAGGCCGTCTGAGCCGAGCCGCGCAGCCCGAACCGAGCCACGCTGCCCTAACCGAGCCGCGCCGCCCTACCTGAACCGAGCCGCGCCGCCCGTACTGAGCAGCCTCTCTGGACCGAGCCGCCCTACCTGAGTCGCGCTGCCTACTGCTGTTAGGGTGCACCTACTACTACTACTACTACTACTACTACTACTACTACTACTACTACTACTACTACTACTACTACTACTACTACTACTACTACTACTACTACTACTACTACTACTACTACTACTACTACTACTACTACTACTACTACTACTACTACTACTACTACTACTACTACTACTACTACTACTACTACTACTACTACTACTACTACTACTACTACTACTACTACTACTACTACTACTACTACTGCTCTCTACTGCTACTATGGCTAGCCCTCCTGTGCTAGCTTTCGATGCTGAGGGCCGCCCAGTGAAGTTTGACACCTGGCTAGATGACCTGCACCTCTTCCTACAGCTCACTGCCAAGGAGGACATCTCACTGTATGACCACGCCCGAGGCCATACTACTGCCCCTGCTGCTACTGCTGACAGCACTGCCCGCTCACAGTGGCAGACTCGTGATGCCCACGCTCGCTTTGCTATTCGCAACTCCTTGCCGATAGATGAGCGCGAGCACTTTGGCCAGCACAAGACTGCACAGGACTTGTACACTGCTGTCGTTGCCCGCTACTCCTCACCTGCCTCTGCCGCACTAGGCCGTCTCTCACTCCCCTACCTGTTCCCCGACCTGGCCTCTTTTCACACAGTTGCTGACCTCATCACGCACCTCCGTACTAGTGAGGCCCGCTTCCGTGCCGCTATGCCCGATGAGTTCCTTGCTAAGAACCCCCCCCCGCTCTGGCTCACTCTCTACCACCTAGTCACCCGCCTCCCTGACTCTCTGCACGCAGTCAGGGACCACTTCCTCTCTCGCTCCCCCACTGAGCTCACCATTGCCCTCCTCGAGAAGGAACTACTTGCAGCTGAGGCTAGCATAGTCGCTGTAGGTGCCTCTCGTGGCGACCCCCGCACCCCTTTCTTTGAGGGGTGTTCCCCTTCCCCCCTTCTTCCCTCTGTAGCCTCTGCTTCTGCTGTCGACCTCCTTGGTGCTGAGAAGGTCGGGACTGCGTCCGCTTCAGGCTGGCGCCGCAGGAGCAAAGGGGGCAAGGGAGGCGGAGGTGACGGCGGGGGAGGCGGTGGTGGAGGCGGTGGCGGCGGTGGGGGTGGTGGTGGGGCTGGAGGGACTAGTGGCAGCGGTGGGGGTGGTGGCGGCAGCGGCGGGGGAGGTGGCAGGGGCGGGGGCGGTGGTGGGGGCGGCGGTGGTCGCGGCGGCGGCAGGGGAGGGGGTGGTCGAGGAGGTGGCGGCGGCGGTGGTGGTCGTGGAGGCGCTGGCAGTGGCCAGAGCCAGCAGCACACTCCGTCACCCCAGGAGGTCCGTGAGTGGTACTCTCAGCACGGGGGGGGGGGTGGGCTTAGCTGCACGTACGTCATCCGCACTGGTGACCGCACTGGTCAGACGTGTGGGAGGGCGCACACCACGCAGCGCTGCTTCTCTCGCCTCGACGACGCCTGGCGTACTCAGTTCCCTGATGCCACTGAGCTGCCCCGCTGGTTTGATCTGATGAAGAAGGGAGTTGATATCTATGCTCTAGACTTTGATGCTATTCTCACTGCCATGTATGTGATGTCTACTAGTGGAGAGGGTGCTCAGTACCTGTGTGTTCCGCCCGACCCGAGCATTGGGACCAGTGAGGCTGCCGCTGTAGGTGCTAGTGAGACTGCCACTCCAGGTACTCGCGTGTCTGCTACCCCAGGTGCTGGTGAGGCTGCTGCTCTAGGTGCTCGTGAGTCTGTGCCCCCTGGTACTGAGTCGACTGAGGCACTGCACACCTTCACACTGGACTCAGGTGCTTCTCGCTGTTTCTTTCGTGACCGCACTGTCCTTGAGCCGCTGGCTCGGCCAGTTGCTGTCTCCCTCGCTGACCCCTCTGGGGGTCCGGTCATTGCGACCTCCTCCACTGTCCTTCCTTGTCCTGCGGTCCCGTCGGGCACACTGTCAGGTCTCCACCTCCCCTCGTTCTCTACGAACTTGGTGGCAGGTTGTGCGCTCCAGGACGGGGGTGTTCACCAGTTCACCCCTGCCTACGAGCGCGTGACACACTGCACGTGTGCTCGGACGGGCCGTCACCTGGCTACCTTCACTCGGCAGCCGGGGTCGGACCTGTACACACTGACCACTGAGTCCCCTCAGATAGCTGCGTCTGCGTCTGCGTCAGGTCAGCTGTCGGCCCCCTGCTCGTGTCGCTCTCTGGCGCACGAGACCGTCCTCTGGCACCACCGACTTGGTCACCCGTCTGTGCAGCGCCTTCGTGCCATGCACAAACGGTACCTTGTCTCTGGTCTTCCCAGGGTTCTCCCTCCCCTCCCACCCTCGCCTGCTCCTCCCTGTCTTCCCTGTGTCGAGGGGCGGCAGCGCGCCGCTCCTCACTCCTCCTCGTTTCCCCCGACGACTGCTCCCCTGCAGACGCTCCACATGGACGTGTGGGGCCCAGCCCGCGTTCGTGGTCAGGGTCAGGAGAGGTACTTCCTGATCGTTGTTGACGACTACTCGCGCTACACCACGGTCTTCCCTTTGCGCACCAAGGGTGAGGTCCCTGATGTCTTGATCCCTTGGATCCGCGCTTCTCGTCTCCAGCTCAGCGAGCGTTTCCACTCGGACTTTCCTGTCCTGCGTTTGCACTCTGACAGAGGTGGTGAGTTCTCCTCCGACCTCTTGGCAGCCTACTGTGCGGAGCACGGCATTGAGCAGTCGTTCACGCTTCCGGCCTCTCCGTAGCAGAATGGGGTTGCTGAGCACCGCATTGGCTTGGTCATGGAGGTCACTCGTACCTCCTTGATCCATGCGGCTGCCCCCCACTTTCTGTGGCCGTTTGCGGTCCGATACGCTGCGCATCAGCTCAACCTCTGGCCCCGTGTCTCCTTGCCGGAGACTTCCCCGACACTGCGTTGGACGGGAGAGGTTGGCGATGCGTCGCGTTTTCAAACGCGATGCATCGCCAACCTCTCCGCGACAAGCTCTCCTCCCGCGCTGTTCCTTGTGTCTTCCTTGGCTTTGTCCCGGACGCGTCTGGTTGGCAGTTTTACCACGCCACCTCGCGCCGTGTCCTGCCCTCTCAGGACGTCACTTTTGACGAGTCCGTCCCCTACTACCGCCTCTTCCCCTACCGCACTGCCCCGCTCCCCCCCCCGCCTCTCTTCCTCGCTCCAGGTGCTGCTGTGCTAGACCCCCTCCCCCCTCAGGGTGCCGCTCCCTCAGGTGTGTCCCAGGTAGACCCGGTTGGGCCTATCGAGGTAGCAGTCGACTCTTGTCCTGCTAGGGGTGCTGAGTCTGAGCGTGCGGAGCCTGGGGGTGCGGAGCCTGGGGGTGCTGAGCCTGAGGGTGCGGAGCCTGGGGGTGCTGAGCCTGGGGGTGCTGAGCCTGGGGTTGCGGAGTCTGGGGGTGCTGAGCCTGGGGGTGCGGAGTCTGGGGGTGCTGAGTCTGGGGGTGCTGAGTCTGGAGGTGCTGAGCCTGGGAGTGCTACACCTGGAGGAGCCCTCTCCTCGCAGCAGCTGCAGGAGAGGTACTTACAGTACTGCAGCCTCAGGAGAGGTGCTGCTGGAGCTAGGAGTGCTGCTGGAGCTGGTACTAGTGCTTCCCCTCCTAGACGGGAGCTGCCCTCCCTTCAGCGGATCCGAGAGTGGTACACGCGGCGCTGCAGTCTTCGGAGTGGCGCTCCTGGTGTCTCGGACCATGGAGCTGCAGGTGCTGCTGCTGCTGGTGCTACTGGAGGTGCTGCTGGTCCTGGACCTGCTGCTGGTGCTGGAGCTGCTGGAGGTGCTGCTGCTGGAGGTGCTGCTAGCGCTACTGGTGGTGCTGCTGGTGCTGCTGGAGGTGCTGCTGGTGCTGCGGACCCTGGAGTTGGAGCTGCTGCTGGTGCTGCGGACCCTAGAGTTGGAGCTGCTGCTGGTGCTGCGGACCCTGGAGTTGGAGCTAGGGCTGGTGCTGAGGACCCGGGCGTTGGAGCTGCTGCTGGTGCTGCGGACCCGGACGTTGGAGCTGCTGCTGGTGGTCCAGACCCGGGGGTTGAAGCTGCTGCTGGTGCTGAGGACCCTGGCGCCAGTGTCTCTGCTGGTTCTGGAGATGCTGCGCGGCCGCGACCGTACTTCGTGCCGCTCCTTCAGCAGGTTCTTGGTCAGCCTCCTCCTCCTTGTCCTCCTCCCTCGTTAGAGTGTCCTTCGCCTGTCCAGTCGCAGTCCCTGTTACCGCCTGCCTCGCCTCTCCCTGGTCCTTCTCCTTACACTGGTCCCACAGGAGGTCTTACGGAGCGTCGTGAGCCTGCGTCTCGTCCTGCGTCGCCTGCGTCTCGCTCAGCGTCGCCTGTTCGTGCTGCTCGCACTGGTCGTCGTGTCCCGCGTGAGCGTCCTCCTCCTGTCCCTGGCACTCACTACATGACTCTGCGTCCCTCCACTGCTCCTCGGCGTGTCCCTCTGCCGTCTCCTCCTGCGTCCTCTCTTCCTACTCTTTCTGACCCGGAGTCTGACTCCATTCGTGCTGCCCGTCCTACTGTCACGCGTCTCCTCGCCACTGTTGTCACTGACCCTACCTTTGAGTCCTCTGCTGCGTCTGCTCTGGTCGCTGAGTTAGTTGACTTTGCTGCCACGTGTCGTCTAGACTACGCCGCTAGCCTTGTTGCTGAGTCTGAGTCTGTCTGTCTTCCGTCCGTCGGGGGTGAGTGTGCTCTTGGCACGGACGTCCTTGAGGACAGGCAGGAGGAGTTCCAGTGCTTTGCTGCTGCTTTGCCCCATCTCGTGTCCATGCTAGTTGCCCCTGAGGGAGACCCGGATGCACCAGACATCCCGACTCCGCGCTCTTACGCAGAGGCGATAGAGGGTCCCTACTCCTCTCAGTGGCAGACAGCCATGGACGCAGAGATGGCTTCCTGGAAGTCCACAGGCACCTACGTCGACGAGGTTCCCCCACCTGGGGCGAACATCGTCAGTGGCATGTGGATTTTCAGAGTGAAGCGGCCGCCGGGTTCTCCGGTCTTCAAGGCGCGTTACGTGGCTCGAGGCTTCAGTCAGCGAGAGGGAGTAGACTTCTTCCAGACCTTCTCCCCCACCCCGAAGATGACCACTCTTCAGGTGCTGCTGCACATAGCCGCTCAGCGCGACTATGAGCTTCACTCACTTGACTTCAGCACTGCTTTCTTGCAGGGCAGCCTGCACGAGGAGATCTGGTTGCGCCGCCCTCCTGGCTTCACTGGGTCGTTTCCTCCTGGTACCCAGTGGAGCCTCCGGCGGCCGGTCTACGGTCTCCGCCAGGCGCCACGTGAGTGGCATGACACACTGAGGACGACACTTGCGGCTCTTGGGTTCGCTCCTTCTACTGCTGACCCGTCGCTGTTTCTACGCACCGACACCTCGCTGCCGCCGTTCTACATCCTCGTGTACGTCGACGACTTGGTCTTTGCCACTGCTGACACTGCGGCACTCGCCCACGTGAAGTCGGAGCTGCAGAAGAGACACACGTGCACAGACTTGGGTGAACTGACAAGCTATCTTGGCTTGCGGATCACCCAGGACAGAGCACGGCGCACCATCACCTTGACTCAGTCACACATGGTGCAGCAGGTCCTTCAGCGCTTTGGCTTCACGTACTCCTCGCCTCAGCCCACTCCTCTGCCTACCGGTCACTCGCTCTCAGCTCTGCCTTCGGATGAGTCCGTAGAGCCGAGTGGCCCGTATCCAGAGCTTGTGGGCTGCCTCATGTACCTGATGACCTGCACTCGACCTGACCTTGCATACCCTCTTAGCATCCTTGCACGCTATGTCGCTCCTGGCCGTCACCGGAAGGAGCACATGGATGCTGCTAAGAGGGTGTTGCGTTACTTGTGCAGTACGTCGGGCATGGGGCTAGTGCTTGGAGGGCGAGACCGAGTTGTTCTCACTGGGCACTCAGACGCTTCTTGGGCGGACGACCAGGCTACTCAGCGGTCGTCTCAGGGTTACACCTTCAGTCTTGGCTCTGGTTCAGTTTCTTGGCGTTCTACACGCTCTTCTTCTGTTCTCAGCTCCAGTTGTGAGGCTGAGATCTACGCCACAGCCATGGCAGCCCAGGAGCTACGCTGGCTCACCTACCTGCTGACCGACTTGGGAGAGCGGCCTCGTTCTCCTCCGGTTCTGTACGTTGACAACAAGGCTGCCATTGCCTTGTGTGAGGAGCACAGACTGGAGCACAGAACGAAGCACATCGCTCTGCGCTACTTTCTTGCTCGAGAGCTGCAGCAGCGCGGTCAGCTTCGTCTGCGTTACGTGGCCACTCGGGCCAACACTGCTGATGTGTTCACCAAGGCGCTTCAGCCTTGTGACCATCAGCGTTTCTGTACTCTTCTAGGCCTTGTGCCTGCTGGACCTCACTTGCTTACTTCTTGACTCTGCTTGTACTGTGATCTCTATATATATACCTGCATGTTTACACTTGCTAGGTTGTGATCACTGTATCTCTTGTTATATTATCAAACTGCATGTGAACTGGTCTTGTGACCGCTTGCTTGTGCTCGGAATTTGTGTGGTATCCTTGAGATCCACCCTGAGCTTGTTTTGCTTTGCTTTGACTGGTCTCGTGACCCTCTGGTTGTCTCCCACTGCGCCTATGGGGGTGTGTCAAACATTGCATGTTTAAGTTGTGTAGGCTGTAGTGGGTTTGACCTTAGGGGGTACACAAACTTAGGGTTTCCTACTTGTACCCAACTTTCTGCTAGTTCATGCATTCCTGCTTCATTCATTCCGACATTTTCAACGTCCGATCCCTTCCCTGGGAAAGTATGTCGCGCCAGCTTGCCGCCGACGCAGGAGGCACACGGCAGGTCGAATCCAGTCGATTTTATCATGTCCAGGCCGATGGCAACTTCATGCTTCGCCAAACTCGTAATCGTATCAATGCTGACGTGCGCGAGCCTCGCGTGCCACCTGTCCAGTTTCTACTTCGTCGCTGAGGCGATTGTCCGTAGAGTAACTGCGTCCGTCGAAGATGTCGTCGATTTCGTGGAGCAGGGGTGGAGGTCGGTGCAGAGGAACTGACCGGTGTAGCCTGCTCGACCGAGCACATCTCCTATAGCGGAAACGAGCAGCATCTCGTCACCCTCGTTCTGCAGCTTCACGCCGTGGTCCTTCAGCCGACCAGCCGACAACAGATTCGCCTGCACGCCCAGTACGTACAACACGTCGGGAATGAGAATCAGCTTCCCGGTCTCCCCTTTCAGAGCAACTGTGCCACGGCCTTCGACGTTCTGAAGCGCCCCGTTGAATCCGCGCACGTGACGGATCTCACCTTTAGGCTTCATGTTGACGAAGGCCTCTCGCGTACCCATCAGGTGATGGGAGCAGCCTCTGTCGAGGAGCACCACGGTTGGATTCGCCTGCACGGCTGTTGCGACCGCCTAGAAGTCTTTGCCAGCCTATGGCGCCAGCAAAATTGTTGGCTCGACCACGCCAACCATCGAACATGAAGCTCCACCACCGCTCGAAGCATCTCCCTCTGATTTTGATGCCGGTTTTGACGACGCCGACTTCTCCTTGCGCGTCTGGTTGTCTCGACGGCGACGATTACGGTCAGACTTCGCGTCCTTTGATCGACGACCGTTTCCAGACTTTCCGCGACTTCCTCTCTGATCGTCGTCGGACTCGTCGCGGTCAGGGCACTCGTACAAGAGATGGTCAGGGTCTCCGCAAATGTAGCAGCGGCGTCCTCCTCGACGCGAACCACTGCTTCCGCGATCATTGCCCTTCGCCGACTTT